AAGTGTTAAAAAACTACAGACACGTCGACGATACGGAGGACGCGCCAGCCGATTTGCTACTTATCGGTTATGCGCATGTGCAGAGTTACATTTTTTTTATTTTATTTTTTTTTTTTACAAAAGGTACATTTTCCTGTTATAATGTATAATTTCCCTTTAAAAATGCTTACTACCATATGAATATTTGTACGGTCAGCCAGCTGAAAAAGAATAACTGAAAGTTTCAGTTACTATGAGGAAAGGTGTACTTTGACAAGTCAAAGATTAATATTTTATGATAATTTTTACTTTTCACACCGTTTTAAAAATAAAAACAGTAGTCTACAGTTTACAGTAGCTACTCATAACTTAGAATTGTATCATAATTGTATTTCATACGACTTTAATCGGAATTCTGTGATCAATTCGCGCTACGGTAGCATTTTTCGACAAGGCAGCAAAAATCGAACACCGGTTTCAAGATATGTCTCCTTTATATTGTCATTTTCTGTTCCTCCGGCACTTTGCAAAAACATAGCATTGTTTCTGCAACGACTTTGTTTTATGTGCCGTGAGAAAGTCTCTTCGCGTAAAACACGCGAAATCCGATCAGAGCAGTCAGAAAGAAACGGATTTCCAGAAACGCGAAATTTCAAACCGCATTTTTAGTAAAAATCTAATTTTTGCTGTTCACTTGACCTAATTCACGCACATACATTCATGCACACACATAAGCATGCATACATACATGCACATACATACATTTTGCTGTTTTTATACTTATAATTTATTGAAACAATATGTGCTGAATGTTTGTATTGTGATTTTATATAAAAATTTTGATTGTCTAGTGTTGTGTTGGGGATTTTTAACACCATGGGTCTGAGGGAAACGAAATTTCAATCTTCTTTATGTTCTGTACATGGAGTAAGAATTGACAAATAAAAACTGAACTGAACTGAACTTAATTCTACTTTCAATCGGATATGCACAAAAATCTGATTTCTGACAGTCTGAACGTGGCCTCATGAGCACAGGGAACAGAACACATTAGCAAACACGGAGACCAAAACACCATAATACTAAAACAACAGAACAGAACTTTTACAACCCCACGTTAAAAAAAAAATTGTAATTATTTAATAACATAAAAATTAATTCATATAAATGTTCTTTTAAGGTATTTTTCCACAGTAAATCTCCCGTTTGTTAAATCAGCTGTATGTAATACTTACATTATCTTCTTTTTTCTTATTTTTTAAGCAGTTGTAAATATTTTTCCTGTCCCACACCGCACCAGCTACAAATCCAGCCAGCAGGACCACAACAGCAGCAGCACATATTCCTGCTACAGCAGTTAGAGACAGACCTGAATCTGGAATAAAGAGAAACAGTCCTCATTAGGAGAGCAAATGATAACGCATCCAGTACTTATAGCTGCAGTTCGCAGTTTTTCCTCTGTTTGAAATCTGCAGTTATCCGCAGAATTACCAACTTTACATGAGTTGTGCCTCAGCATGGCACAGCGCAGATTAGGATGCACAGTATATTTGGCCACCCAAAATTTTGACACAAACAGAAACCGTGTCTGAAGCAACATGTCTGCGGCGTGGACGTATTTCAGTACATCTGATGGTAAGTTCACACCAAACGCGAATATAGTGCCTGGCGTGAATGATTTCAATGTTAAAGACGCGTTTACGCGTGTCTAGAGGTTCTGCGGCGCAAATTAGGGCTATGCAAACGATTTTATTTGGTGCATTCAGGCTTTTGACGCAAAGAGATGAAAATCTTTACATTTGATTAGTTATCATGAAAACAAATCCCAGAGAACGGTTGATTCGCTACCAATGTGTTATTAGACCAAAGGTTGTGTGACTACATTTAATGCCCTTCCGATATCATCTATAAGACAAACTATAAACTGCACTTAAATAGCACGTTATAAAATAGTATACAGGTAAATAAAATAACTCTTAATATTATTGTAAAAAATAAATAAATCAAACATTAAAAATGTGATTTAAACACGCACACATACATACAGTACATAGGCTACATAATATATATATATATATATATACAAACAAGACCATTTCACAAGATGTAAACAACACTGGTCCAGAAGCACTTCCTGTTTCAGTTTTTTAACACTACATAAAAGCTGGGATAAAATACAACCAACAGAACATTTAAAACTGAATCAAAAAGTTAAACAAACATCTTTAAGATGTTTTCTTTACATGTGAAATAAAGAAAACAGTTACAAACTGAAACAGGAAGTGCTTCTGGACCAGTGTTGTTTACATCTTTTGAAATGGTCTATAGTATAGTATTTAGTTTAATGACTCACCACAGACAGAAACATTGAAGATCTTTCCACTGCCGCCGATGATCTGTAGTTTAAAAAGTCCAGAGTCTGTGTTTCTGATGTTCATGATGGTCAAAGATCCAGTTTGACGATCCAGTTTCAGTCTGCCTCTGAATCTCACATTACACTGAACATTTGTACAGATCTGACTCTGATCTCCAGTGATTTCAGCGATGACAATGTCACTAAAATACCATTTCATCTTCTCCTGTTGGTTTGTTTGAACACCAGTGTTTAGAGTGACTGAATCCCCCCCCTTCACTGAAACTGACACGATGTCATAAACACCAAACACACCTAAGAAACAGTAAACATAAGCCAAACAAAAACAGACAAAAGTGCTTTGATTCAAATATAGCCTCGCTTTTCTATATATTGCAACATTTAACTCACACAACCAAGTATTTATGGACTCAAAACGAATATTATTGACAATACATCGTTGTTATGGTTAACCCGGAAGAGAGTGTTGTAACCTTACCATGGTCGAGAAAAAACAAGATCATTAAGAACAAACAAATGAAAAGCTTCATTTTCACTACAAAAATGACACATTCTGATCCATAAAAGTGTTCCGTTCTTCTGCTTTCATCTCGTTCGTCTTTTTAATGATCTGACATTTAAACGTCGGAGCTTGTGTGTGTCGAGCAAAAATGGGCGTGCGTTTCAGATGAAGCAGCGATCAGCTGCGAGCGGAGGTCTGTGTTCTTTTTAAATCACGTGACTATCCGGTTTCGTTTCCGGATAAACGGGGTTTGAAACTCGCGCCACCTTCTGGGTGTTGCAGGAGTAGCAGAAGCAGGTCTAGTAGTGTCAGACTCAGAGAGTCAGATAAATATCATTGCCATTGTTGTTATTGTGTCGTGTTAGCGCCATATATTATCAAATCAGGTTAGAATACTTTTGGATTTGTTTTTTGCGACTCTTCATTTGTCCTGGTAATGGAGCCAGCAAGAAAAAGAGGAGGTCCTCCACGGGGCTCAACAGCAGCATCAGTGTCCTCATTTAAACCAGCTGGCACTGGCATTTTTATGTTCCCCTGGATCCACTGTTCTCTGTGAAAGGTTCCCTGGAAACCTCCTCTCCAGGTTTTGTTGAAAAACAGGAATCGTCTAAACCCCAGCACACTTGAAACATTTTTTGTTTCTCAATAAACATCTATTGTAACCCTTCCTTCTCCCACCCCAATCTGCAGTCCCATAAAAATAACAACGGACTCAAACTAGTAACAGTTCACTGCACAAAACACACCAGAAATAAGTCTTTTTCCAGACTATTCTGTGCAGTTTACTTTATTACACTCCCTCCAATCACTGCACTCAACACAGTGTCATACTGTCACTATCCAAACATTTTATGAATAATTAATGAACTATGTGTGTGACAGTTGTATCTGCACAAGTAAATTCAGACAGAGAAAGATTCATGTTTTATTTGATACCCATCTTCCATGTCTTTTATCATATTTATCCTCTGTAATTCATATTTTGAGCAATTAATAAGCACACAGTCTCAGATATTTGGCAATGATCACAAAACCCAGTTAGATGTTTCCCCATTATATGAAGAGTGCTATTTAATTTAGTATGTCCTATTCTGAATCTGGTTATAGTTTCTTCTCTCCTGTTTCCTCTTTTTTTCGTTGTCTTCCTTTTTAATTCTTGGTCCCACCTTTGTTGCCCTTGTTTGTTCTTCTGCTTTAATGGCGTCGGAGTGAAAGAAAGACGGAGATGACGAAGACAAGGGGCGGCGGTGAATGTGACGTAGGCTATAACTATACTAACGTGCACATACTGCATACTGGATCTGATCCTAGAGCTCATACGGGCTCTGATGAAAAACTAAGAGAGGGTTGCCCTAAGGGTTGTCCAAAGCGTGGTTATACCTTCTTTGATGCTCAGATAGATATAACACATCCTCACTGCATTGTAGAAGAAGGTGATGTACATCAAAGTGTGAGTCATTACATGAGGTTTAATTAGGTATGAGGCATGATACAGGTGAGGTCACATCGATCGTTGGTTGTATACCATAATAATAGTACACAAGACAGTAAACCACCACGTTATCAAATAGCGCTTAACTGGTTTCCCTCAGAGATGACTGCAGCTGGAGAATTGAGATGTATAGATTCCACTGTCGCGTTTGTTGTAAAATAAATCGACAGCGCATTAATTTTAATGGACGAACAGAAAACTGCAATCAAGGCATTTGTCGATCGGAAAGATATTTTTGCCGTCCTTCCTACATGATTCGGGAAAAGTGTAACTTATCAGCTGGCTCTGACAGTCGTTAAGAACGTAATGAAAAGCCTGTGGTCGTTGTGGTTTCTCCTTTGGTCGCACTCATGGAGGACCAAGTAAAGGAAGCAACACTTGTTATTTTACTCCTAAAATAAGGACAACTGTATGCAAAGTAGTTGACTTACTGCGTTACTCTGATTGGTTATAGGTTTACCGACTATCCAATTGAGTGCAGAGTTTTGTTTTTCCTGGTTCGGTTAAGCCACGCCTCATAATCAAAGCCCTACGGAGCCGTTTCAGACTCATATTCTGACTAGAATATGAGTATGAAGAAGTCAGGATACACGTGGCCACATTCCTTTTGAAGGTCGTAAAATCTCCTTATCAGCCCCGTAACACGACACCGTTTCATTTGGGATGTTAGTTTTGGAGTTTCATAAACCTTTGTATGTAATGAATAATTAGTGTGTGTCTGATGCGACCCTACGTCACTCAGCCCATTTACATTTCACAGGTATTGGTACCGAGTCCGACCTCTGAAATCTTGGAATAGATCTTTTTCCATCATTTCCAAATTCTCTTCAGTGCCCATTTCAATGTATCGAAATTATGACGTTACATTTTTTTATTGGGAGCCTCGGCCTGAGTCTGATTTAAGGATGTCCCATCTGCCCCAAAGGAATGTCATTGGGATCAGGTGATGGGTCATCATCCCCCTCCTGTAAGAAAACACAGACTCACAGGTCAAAGTGATGAGGAGGATTGTTACACAAACACACAAACACTACAGACATGGAATTGTTTTATATAGAGGTTTGTGGTTCCTAAATATTGTTAAACCGCATCAAACTGAAATCTCCTGTGCTTCGTTAATACAAAATTGAAGTATTATGATTTCGATCACATCTAAAATGCTTAAAGCTACACTGTGTGATTTTTACCCCCATCTAGTGGTGAAAAGGTATATGACCATCCAGTGAATATTAGTTTTTGTTCCTCTAAATTCTGATTTCGTTTTAACTCCTGCGGTGGCCAATGTAGTCCAAGTTTAACATGGCTTCCAGTTCGACCTCGTCCATGAGTGTTAACTCAGACGTAAACACGAAAGGCGAAGCTTGAATTAATGGATATGTCCCTCTTTGGCTAATGTACTTTCAAGATGGAGGGGCAACATGGCGACCGCTTACCCGTATGTATTTTCAATGGCATATTATACACTCACGAGAATACTTTATTACTTGAACGAAGTAAATATACATTAATGAGCACATATATTTTTGAAAGAACTGTGTTTTTTAGCTAAGAATAAACTAAAACAGTTACACAGTGTAGCTTTAAAGCAGCCCCATGCAGTTTTTTTTACCTTAACTGAATAGCACGTTATTGCAATGGTTATATGACGATTTTCGGGTTGAATGTTGGGCGTTTCAAACTTACAAAGTTCTCAATGCTTCGTTTTGCATGTATGGACCTTCATTATGTTACTGTGTTCAACATGACATCATGCCTTTTGCGTAAACATACACGCCACTTTCGAGTCAAGTGCCGTGTTATCTCTACGCATTTTGTGCTATCCGTGTATGTCTACGCCATTAACGTTCGTGTCATTCCGCGTGTACAATGTCGAGTCATAAATGCCATTAACCCCAGTGACGGTTAGGTTTAGGGACGGGGTTGAGGTAAGTCATATATTTATATAACGTTAAGTCAATGGCGTTCATAAACACGCTGAAAAGCGATTATGCGTCTTGATAGCACGCCAAAAATGGAAATACGAATTGGCGTGTCATACACACGTTACTTCATGAGATCAGCCTGCTGTGTTAGTGTGGGGCTATTTTGAGCCTTGTTAGTGGTATAAATTAGCGATTTCTTTTTACTTAGTAAATGCCCCCAGTACTAGCGTGTACGCTAAACAGTTTTTAGAGCTAAAACTCTTTACATTTGATTATCATGAAAACAAATCTCAGAGAACGGTCGACTAGATACCCATGTGTAATTAGACCAAAGGTTCATTTTGCGCCGGAGTTCTCCTTTAAATCAGCTAATTGTAATAATTACGTTCTGCTGTACTGATGTATAGATCTTGTGGCGATAGTAAATCACAGCAGCAGCTGCAGAAACCAGCAGAACTACAACAACTATTCCTACTACAGCAGCTGGAGACCGACCGGAACCTGGAACATCTACAGACAGACAGACAATACATACACCCAGTATTTAACAATATCTTTGACTCATATTTACATATCTTTCATATGTTACGGTTGTGATGTAATGCAGCTATGTTGGTTCTGCTGTTGTTGCTGCTGTCTCCTTCTCCTTTAGGATTGGTCCTGGATCTAACAACACGCTGATGGTGATTGGATCAGAGGAGAGGCCCGGACCATAAATTCCCTGGAATACCACTAGAGGGGGCGCTCTGCCATTGTTTGCAACTGAGGTTGTACTGCGTGTTTGCTCTCTGTGAAAATGTAGCCCAATCATGTGATTAATGTGCTCTTGTATGGTTATTGATCCTGAGTGATTTGTATCAAAACGCCAGTGTTGATGATCTCATCTGTATGCGTCTGATTATTTGAGAAGCCGTAGGGGGTGAGTGCCATGTTTCTTTTGTAGGCCGAAAGGCCGTTGTTTTTCTCCTGTTTATTGTTAGTTAAGGAGGTAGGGTATCCCATTGTATGTTTTGTTTTCTTTTCTTTTAATTCATAGGTAAGGTAGTTTCTTTGGGGAAAGTTAGTTCTGTTTGGTTTATTATTTTGGCATTAGCTCACCCCTGAAGATCTTGCTTCTAATCTTTTTCCTGTTTGTTTTCTTTGTTAATTTATTTTCAAGATATTGTTTTGGTGAATGATAAGCAATGCTGCTTTTAAAACAAATCCAGAATGATAATAAATTCAAGCTAACTAAAGGAATCGCTGTTGGTGTTTATGTTACTGTCTGACCTAGACCAGGGACCGTAACACATATCTTATACCTTATCTTATACACATATCATATCACATACCTTATACCTTACACATTTCTGGTCATCGGTTGTATGATATTGATTTAACTATAAACGAACAGTATTTATTTAGTTTTACCTCTTGTAACCACAGCCACAACATGAGGTAAACGATATAAATACTGTTGGTTTTCTCACACAAGCCGCTCGTTTTGTGTCTTAGGCCATTAATGTGAACTTACATTTACAAGTCATTAAATCATGTTTAATCTGGACTTCTCTGTGCATGCTCTTTGAGGTGGTGACCATAGACCTCCATTATATGACTGATAGACAAGAACAGTTTGACCTAAAAATATCAAAATTGTAAATACTGAAATAAAGACACCTACATCTTGGATGCCCTTGAGGTAAGATAAAACATACCCAAAATTAATTTCAAAGTGAACTATCCCTTTAAAAACAGCAGTTAAAATCACTAATAAAGAAAACAATATTTACTGAAAAACTGCATTTTTCTAGTTAATACCATTAGCCAAAGTGTCATTGAGTTAAAAAGTCCATTGCCCAAAAGTTATTGGGTTGATTTAAAAATATTGAACTGTTTTTTTTTTCTTCAAAAGAAAATGCAATTAATGACTATATACACTCACCAATGACAGCCAGATTGAATCTCTTCACTCTAGTGATGCTGAAGCTGCTGTTGATGATGTTGATCTGTAGTTTATATTCCCCAGAGTGTGTGTTTCTGATGTTCATGATGGTCAGAGATCCAGTCTGATTATCCAGCTTCAGTCTGTCTCTGAATCTCTCGTCTCCATCTTCACACTGAACATCTGTACAGGTTTTATTTGGATCTCCACTGATTTCAGCAATGAGAATGCCATTAAAATACCACATCATCACATCATTTGGTTTTCTTGCTACAGGAGGATCAAAAGTGACGGATTCTCCCTTGTTTTTCGTCACTTCATCTATTTCAGCAGCAGAAACAGCACCTGAAACACAAAGCAACAGACGGTTAAAGTTATTTAGATGAAAACAACAAATGCCACAACATCAGAGAACGAATGAAACTGCATAAGCCCGTCTTAACTTTCGATCTGAAAAGAAACTATTTGTTTTGTACTAAAACCCATTTTACATAATTTACATCCAATCCTCATTTAAACAGATAATAACAGAAGCTGATGATAGATGATTATATGTTGTCATATCCCTCTGAGCTCAACTGCAGCTTCAACTGTTAAAACTAACAACTTGCCAATGGAAAATGAGATCTGAATACTGTAAGTTTTATAGCTGGAATAACCGAATATCATTAGTAAAAACATCAAGCAAATTAACAAGTTTAAACATATAAACTGCATTTCAACTCACCATGAACAGAAACACTGAAGATATTTCCACTGATTCTGCTGCTGATTATCTTCACTTCATAGAGTCCAGAGTGTGTGTTTGTGATGTTCGTGATGGTCAGAGATCCAGTCTGATGATCCAGCTTCAGTCTGTCTCTGAATCTCTCAGTGCCTTTATTACACTGAACATCTGTACAGGACTTATTGAGATCTCCATTGATTTGAGCGATGCGAGTGTCATTAAAATACCATTTAATATCTTCTTGTTGGATTGTTTGAACACCAGTGTATAGAGTGACTGAATCTCCCTCCATCACTGACACTTCATCTGATCCGACACTGAAAACACCTGGAGAAGAAATTATCAGTTTTTTTCTACAATATATTTGTAAACCCGCTGTTTGAATCTCTCATGCTTTTTTGTCCTGGTATCCTTTGGCTAGCGTTACATGCTATAATTCATTCAAGTGCTACTAAACCATTCAAGCGCGGATGAACAGTTCTGTGTTGTAGAACAGCTCTGGTTGAAGAGATGATGCTTTTTTAGTCGGGTAGAATCTGTGATCTCTGACCCAGTTTGTTCACTGACTGCCATGACTGTGATCTATGATATATGCTGTGTTTTCAGCCAACGTATGTAAATACAACAACCCCCCCCCCCCCCCCCAACCAACCCCAAAAAAAAGGTTACTTACCCCAAGGTTATCTGTGATAGACTTTGTTTCAGCAGTTGTGTAATGCTTTTAAACAAGTATACTAGGCTACTTCTATGCTACACAATTATTAGCTAACAGTTTTTATTTTTCCACTTCAAAATCATTTCATGCTAAATAAAAACACTGTTAAAAACGTTGTCGTGCCTGTTCTGTGAATGACTCAGCTAAACAATCCAATAAGAGACCAACTACCATGATTTTAATAATGTCGAATTAAAACGTCAACAAATGTATAAAACTGATCAGAGATTCAGCCCCGACAAAAAGAAGTGAGAACCATGTGGTGCGTATAAACTTTTTTTTTTAATAAAAAAAATATGTGCTGAAAATAAAAGTTTGAAATGATTTAAGAAAGTGAATAAATTGTGTTTTTGTGGTAGGCTCAGTTGCCTCCTCCAAGGACAGCATGAGAAACTATTTACACAGTCTATGACGAGAAAGCACAAATGGCGCATGCTGCTGCAACGCAAACGGAGTAACCTGTGTGACAGAGGGGTCACAGAAAACAGCGGAAGAGCGATTGGAACAATTAAAGTTCTTACCTTTGTCAAGTACCAACATTATCGAAAACAAATTAGTTATCACGACGTAGGCTACAGTGTTATCAACACTGAGCCTCCCAGACACCATCAAAACATGTGAGATCAGTTCGGTCTCATCTGTCAATCACTTTCAGCTCAGCCTATAGCGAGAATTATCATTAAACCTCCCAAAATGCAATGACGTTGATGTATTTAAAGTGATATTTCATCCAAAAATTAAATATCGTCCCGATGAAAATATACATCAAGTGGACGACAGCTAACATTTAACAACACATCAATTATGAAACAATTATTTTTTTTCAATTCTTAAAACTATGACCAGTCGGAAAAAATAAATAAATAAATATATATATACAGATATATTTTATATTTATATTATTTATATATATATATTTATATTATATATATTTATATATATATACATATATAAATATATATATAAATATATATTTATATTATATATTTATATATGTATATATTTATATTATATTTATATATATATACAAATATATATAAATATATATATATATATTACAGAGTTTTACAGAGCACTCTGAGTGAACTTGAAGACAATTATTCTATATATTTTTTTTAAAAAAAATGTTTTTAAACTGTTGCATCAAGCTGCAAATGAGCTGACTCACACACCTTAGTTCACATGTATTATTTTCCAGGATCTTTTACTTCTTTGTTTGTTTTGTTTTCACTCTTGTATCACATTGTCTGGTTATAATGTTTTTTTTTTCTTTTGCACATGCACAAGTTATGTCTGAAATGTTGTTGCTGTATTCATTTAATACACATGGAAAATGTAGATTGTAGACTTTATTAAACATTGATCCCACACTTCCTGTTCTCTATCACATAATCTACTCCTGTTTAAATGAATAGAAAACGGAATATTATCAATATTATGAAGCAGTATCCACACACATTATCGCTCTCTAGTGTCTAAAGCAGAAAATCACATCTCTCTAATAACAGTGCTACTTTTAGCCGATAGGGTGCGCTATTACTGCTGTTCTCATAAGAAACAATATAATACACTATAAAAGAAACAGACCAACCTGATCACTGCACTGCCTACTGATGCCTATTATAACAAACTCAATTAAACACAGATTACTTTGGTTTATAGAATAAAATGTCTGTTGTCATTGCTTTTTTGAGTGGCGCCATCTGGTGTGTTTTCAATAACAGCAGTTTTGAAACCACTAAATGCATTGAATTCATCATCACGGCCCCCTCACTTTAAGAAAAAAGTATTCCAAACTTTTTAAAAGATAAATATGATATTTTTCTATATTTTTCTACCTCGCAGTGTTAAACAGTTTCTCATCTTGCACACACTCGGCGAATGAGGCTAATTCTGATTCTAAATCAAATATGAACCATTATATTATAAGGTACACAGGTTTAAGATACTGATTTTATTGACTTTTAATAAAAATATAAAATATGTATACAGTCTTAAAAGAAGGGTCAGATGAACTCTAACATTATGCAAACGCAGCGAGTGAGGGTTAAACTGTGGGAGGATTCACACATCAGTTCTGCTGTCACATCTGATGCTGAACGACTGAAGAAAATGTCTCGCATGTTTGTTTTCTGTGTGTGTGGCTGGTGTCTGACTGGTAAGTCATTAAGAACATTAAAAAACAACATTTTTTGGAAGAAAGTGCCTGCTATTGTTCAAATCAGGTTATTTTCATTTAAGTTGATCTAATACACAGACTATCTAATGATGTAAATCTCATTTATTTAAGAAATATTATTAAAATATCCAATTAAAACGGTACTTTCAATCATGTATTCATTTTCAATATGTTATGTAACATTAAAAACTATAAATAATGTTAAAACACATTTTAAGATTAAGGATGTGATGCACTATAAAGATTAGGTTTCAATCGAGATTAAATCAAGATTTATCTATAATAATGCTGTTACACCGGACTTACAAAACTGGTTTTACTTTACATTTAAGATATATACTTTAAATTAAACTCCTCGAGAAGCTGTATGACTGCAAAGGTTGTTGCTGTTTTTGGTTTTCTTTGAGTTTATATCTTGTGCATTCATGTTTTTAATGTATTAAATAGTCTGTGTTGGGTTGTGTTGTTTAAAATTGACATTTGTGTTTTCTCTGTCTGTTGGATTCTGACAGTTTCTCTGTAACGGCTTATAAAGACATTTGACGTTTTACATGTTGTGTTTCTCTTATGCTCTGGATGATCTCAACATTAAATCAAAACATTTGCTGATTTCAGGCTAAAACCATCAGGAGCATTAATCTGTGTAAATCTGTGTGTTCATCAGGTGTGTTTGGTGATTCAGTGTCAGTGATGGAGGGAGATTCTGTTACTCTCAACACTGATGTCACTGAAATACAGGAAAAAGAAGACATAGTGTGGAAATATGGAGCTGAAAGGTCTCTGATAGCTAAAATTAAAAAGAGGAAGCAAATGTTCTCCACATATGATGATGGTCCTGATGGGAGATTCAGAGACAGACTGAAACTGGACGATCAAACTGGATCTCTGACCATCACACACACCACAACTGAACACACTGGAGTTTATAAACTAGATATGAGTGGACAGAAACTGACATCAAAAACATTCAATGTTTCAGTCTATGGTGAGAGATCATCTGTCAAAACGTTCATATATTCTGTTTACATATTCAAATGTTTTATCATTTTATAGTTTGAGATAATGGACACATTCACTGACGATGAACACAAACAGTCACTCAACACAAAGTGTATTACTATTCACTAATTCATATTTCTGCTCATTCTCTCATGTTTCTCAGCTCGTCTGCCTGTTCCTTTCATCATCAGAGACTGTTCATCATCATCATCAAATTGTTCAGTGGTGTGTTCATCATCAGTGTTGAGTGTGTGTGATGCAACTCTGTCCTGGTACGCAGGAATGAGTGTATTGTCCAGCATCAGTGTGTGTGATCTCAGCATCAGTCTCTCTCTACCTCTGGAGGTGGAATATCAGGATAAAAACACCTACAGCTGTGTGCTGAACAATCCCATCAGCAACCAGACCACACATCTGGACATCAACACACTCTGCACACACACATGTGCAGGTACACCACCACTCATCAGATATATGTGTGTGTGTGTGTGTTTACTGACCTGATCTCTGTCTTCTGGTGTAGATCAGACTAATGCGCTCACTTCTTTCTTCATCATTACACAGACACACACACTCTCCCTTCAGTGTCTCTGATAGTGTTGATCTCGGCCGGATCTCTGATGATTGTTGCAGGATTTTGGATCTTGTGCGTCTGCAGGAAATGTAGAAAAATTGACAAAGAAGGCAAGTATTATATTCTACTTTTAAACAAGAAAAATAACAAATAATCATTTGAAAATATGCTCTAAATTTTTTAGCCTAAATTATTTAACTAAAATTATTCTCATGCATAATGTTCTAGTTTTCCTCCTTTGAAACCAAACTAATGTCTATTATTGTGTTTGACAATTTCTGTTGATCACACTCATATCAGAATTCATGTCTATTTCTATATAATGACATAATGTCACTCTTTAGGCTACTCGTCTCACTTGCACACACACAAAAAAAAAACTGACACTGTATTTCTCAAACAGCATCAACACTGCAAATGCAAAAACATAAATGTTTATTTTAGATTATTTATATATTTATTTTTTGTTAAAGCTGTCTCCATTATTGAATGTAGGCGTACTTGTGCAAAGATGATTCTCAGATTAAAATATATATGAATGATGACTTTTGTTGCGCTTGTTGGGTTTAAAAGCTGATTAAATACAAATAATGTAAAATACTTTACTTTTCAAGTAAACATCTCATTTATGTGTCTCTCCAAATTTCACGATACATACTCTTTTTGTGTGTGGTAAACGTTGTAGGTCTAATCCAATTGAAATTTGTTAATGCCGTTTTTGACCGCTTAATGCTGTTAACTTAGAAAGCCCTAATAATGACATAGACATATTTAGCTTGTGAAGAACCAGATCTTGTTTGAATCTTGTTGTTTTTTAATGCATCCATTATTGTTCAAACAGTTGAGACTCGTGAAGTCACTTACACTGAGGCAACATTCAACAAAAGAAACACACAGAAAAAATCGGTAAGACAATTGTTTTTTTGTTGAGTATTTGTTTCATTTCAGCAGAGAGTCCGATGTAGATTTGTGTGCTTGTGTTTTTGTCTGCATAATATGGACTCCCATTTACACCACATTAGAAAAAAAAATCACGCTCTGGTAAATCATAATAATGACAAAAAAAAATCATGACATCCTAAATCAAAATTATGAGATTAAAAAGTCAAAATAGCACTTCAAAATTTGAAAAGATCACAAAGTCGAAATTCTGACTTCAAATGTTTAATTATAAAATAATTTTGATTTAGAATGTCATAACTTTGAGTTTTGTATCTAATATTTTTCACTTTATCAGAGCATACATTTTTTTCTTATGTGGTGGAAATGGGCTTTCATATAATAATGATCTATCACATAAACCTCACACTGTTGCGACGCCGCGAATATCTTGTCTTCGGTCTGGTCTTCTGTCACGTACGGTTGTTGATGACTGTCTTTAATGGATAATCCACAACATCAGTGTTGGGTGTAACTAATTAGTTACTGTAATTTAATTACTTTTTCCTTGAAAATGTAAAGGATTACTCTTCATTTATCTGTAATTTAATTACAGTTACTTCTGATGTAATTGAGGTAAATACTGTGTATAGATCAATCCGATCTCACAGCGAATGGTATGCATTTTATGAGGTGTCTAAATAGTACGACCGCACTTGTACAAATTTGTATGAATTATTGGAAAATATGTATGAAAAAAGTGTGAAATGTCATGAGATCAGACAAAACAATAGTGGGTTTAACATCAAAATGTATTGTCTGATGCTAAAAAGTATGTTTTTATAATGTAATCTCCACCGTGGTCAGTTTAAGGATAATTCATGCAATTTTATAGTATTTATTTGAAAGAATTAAAACAGATTCATGTCTATCCTTGTATTATTCAGCTGGTTGAGATTGATATGGGATTTTAAAAGTAATTACTAATTAAAAGTAATGAAATACTTTTTAGAGAGAGTAAT